ACCATTCTAGATAACAAGGAAAGGTTTAATCGTTTTGAGGAGTACGGCGGTATTTGTGATTTTAGTTATAGGGAGAGAAATAGTAGAAATTTATGAATCAAACCACCTAAAGAAAACTTTAATCTAACGAAAGAACACTATAGCCCCAATCACTTCGGTCGCGAAACTTATGAAAACCGAAAATTTAATATCGAAAGAGGAACCGCTGCGCGCGTGTTCAAGTCGACTACCGTACTTGAATTCCCAGAGAGCAGGAAAACGCCTTTTTGAACATACAACGCTCAAATAACATGATCATTATAAAGATAAGATGCTAAACTTCGGCCGAGTAAACGAGTGCTATTCATAACCCTCAAGAATTCATGGTGCTTGTTACTGCGTGTTACGCTAAACAGTGATATATAACCAAATTTCTTGAGTGGGGCTTGTAAAATTGTTATCGTATAAAAAGGCATTATCCATTCCGAAACATTTATTGTATGATAAGTAGAAGGAATGGGCTTTTTTCCTACCTTTCCTTGTGAATCATCCTCTGAAGCCTTCTTTACATTGATACGCGACGCTAAAAACAGTCACGTGAACATATAGCAGATGAAAGGTCTGGGAATGAGTTTTCTGTTTTCACGATAGCTTTGGTCAAATCACAGGGAGCACACAATCTTGCTGACAGTGAGTAGGAAGAGAGCAAATAAAGAAATGAAAAGAATGACTGAATAGTTTACTATTGTCTCCTGTTGTTGTTTCTTACGCGACCTTACAGGAAAAATCGCTACTTACAAGTCCTGCGTAAACTCGTACCTAGGCCTTTTCACGCTCTACAATTTTTTGTTGGCTTACATATAACAAAATCCTTCCTCAGCTCCCAGTTTTCAACGCGGAATCTCGCTAAAACGCTTCAGGTATTAACTCGCGACATTTCATTTGCGTGCGGAGATCGGGCAACCCCGGACGCGCAAGAAAAACTGCGAACCGGGGGAGGGGTTTGTAAAGATTTGTCGTGTCAAAAAAGCATGTG